AAATGACAAGAGACTTTTAAAAAGATATATCTTAAAAGGGCAGAGAGAAAAAATTATCTAAGGTAAATGCTCTAAGGGACTCAAATCTGGAAGCAGGCTCAGGGGAAATTTAAGGCCATCTTGGTCAACATTGTTGATTAGGAAAATAAAAACAGAAAAAAGTAATTCCAAAAGTTGGCTTTCACACATCTCTCAGCCTAGTTTATATTCATTTTAAAAAACATGGCCAAGCTAAAAAACAAATTAGGACAAAACCAGAAATACACAGAGGTGATTGAGACTGAAGCCCAGGACTTACTTAACTTCATATTGTGAAGCAGGCAGAGGAAGTTAGAAGTTCTGTGCCTACAAACTAATAAGAGCACATATAGTAAAAATACAGTAACACAAATGGGAAGTATACACTGAGTGGCCAGATTATTATGACCACATGACGTTTGTAGGCAAATTAGCCCTATACTGGGATATGGAAGCCGAAGGCCTGTTCAAACACCTTTGCTGTCTGCAGTTACCGAGATAAAACGTCTCCAATTCGCACAGGAACACAAGGATTGGACAGTCGAACATTGAATCAAAGTCATGTGGTAAGATGAATCACGTTTCCAGTTGCATCATGTAGATGGCAGTGTGAGAATTTGGCAGAAACAGCATGAAAGCATGCACCCCACATGCATGAGTACAACCCTTCAAGCTGCTGGGGGCAGTGTTATGGTTTGGGGCATGTTTTCCTGGCATGATTTGGGCCCTTTGACAGACTATTATAAACATCTGAATAGCACAACATACCTCAGTATCATTGCTGATCAAGTTCATCCTATCATGTTGATGGCGTACACCAATGGAGATGGCTTCTTCCAACAAGACAATGCGCCATGCCACGGTGCTCATATTGTGCAGGAGTGCTTTCAAGAATATGAGGGAGACTTTACCTTGCTTACGTGGCCCCCACAATCACCAGATCTCAATCCAATTGAGCATTTGTGGGATGAAGTTCAAAGAGCCATCAGGCAGCTGGTTCCACAACCATCAAATCTCACAGAACTCGACATTGCTATTCATCAGGCATGGTGTCAGATTCCTCACATCACCTTTCAACATCTTATGGAGTCAATGCTAAGAAAAATCGCTGCAGTATTGAAGGCAAAAGGTGGCCCAATGAAGTACTGATGGGGTGGTCAAAATAATCTGGCCGGTCATAATAGTCTGGCCACTCAGTGTATATCTTTACTACTTACAAGAACCTTTCATATATATTTTAATTTATTGGGGTGACATTGGTTAATAAAATCATATAGGTTTTAGGTATATGGGTTTCTATAATATACTAGAGGCCCGTTGCACAAAGAGATTCGTGCAATAGGCCTTCCTTCCTCTGGCTGCTGGCACCAGGTTTTCTCTGGCACCCGGAACCCAGGACTTCACTCTGGCCGCAGCGGAGAAGTCAAGCCTCTTCAGTTTTCAGTCATCTTCAGTCTTCAGACTTCACTTGGACTGGAGCCTTCAGTCTTTGCCTTGCACCTGTGTATGCAAATTAGCCCACCATCTTTGTTGGCTTAATTTGCATACTAATGTTGATGGGCTGGTGGGCATAGTGGAGTGATGACCAATTTGGATGTTTCTCTTTTAATAGTGTAGATTCTCCGTACTTTCATATATTTTTTATTCTCAGACCCACCCTGTGAGGTAGGCAGGTTTCAGTTATTCATTCTAATGAGGTCTTTTCTCCATAAATACTGAAGAATGCTTTTGGATGCTAGTTTTCATGTACTTAGAGAATAAATAAAAGTTTTCTAAAATCTGTTTTTCTGACTAACTTTCATTTCAGAAATTCCATTAAACACTTCTTACACTGAGTAGCCAGATTATTATGACCACCCCACCAGTACAATGAAGTGAATTAGTTATGCAAATAATAATAATAATAATAATAATACAACGTTGAGAGTATTTGCTTAGGACATTTTCAATATTCAGTAGTTTTGGAAGTGTCAATGAAGTACGGATGGGGTGGTCATAATAATCTGGCCACTCAGTGCATTTTCATAGTCCGTCTGGAACAAGCAACTGGAAATAGAATGGGCATGTTTCTTCAAAAGTGATTTTTGCATTGTGTGACAAATTATGGGCCCAACGGCGGTAACAGGCCTGGTCCAGGCAGCTATCTTGCGGTTTCCACGCTGCAGACACAAGGTAGTGCTTCTGCCTCATTGCCGCCACTGTCCCCACACCGATAAGACCCACTGATGAAAGGAGTGGAAAGGGTAGGTTTCGATGTGTTGGGACAATGCTCTAATCAACTGAGCTACCTGCCAGGAGGAAGGGTAAGTTTTGTTTCAGGAGGATCTTAAGAGACCAGATGAAGGGAAGGTCAAGAGGGAGTTGGCGGGATCAAAGAAAGCTTCCTGGAGGAATTGGCATTTGACGAAGGACAAATGCCAATTCCTCCAGGACAGAAAGGACAGTGATGATGTTCAGGTTAAAAGGAAAGTCTGAACAGAGGCAGAAGCGCATCGTGCTGCCAAGAGGGCTCCCGTTTGAGGAAATGAGGGAGGCTGTGCTCCAGCAGAGCCAAGGCGGAGGACATGGAGGACCTCGGGAGGTGCTGTGTGTCACACCAAGAAATGAGCACTTTGTGGGCAAAGCGCCAGACTGTGAGCTGAGGCCTGGGTCCCCACCCAGGGTGTGCTCCGACTAGGCTTCCCTTCCTTGGTCTTGCTCTCTGAAACTTCCTCTAGACCCCAGTGGGGGCCGTGGCAAGTGCTTGTCAGGGAAATACCTAGGAATCACAGCTCACAGAATAATTAGGTGAACAAATCTACCTCCCTCAATTTGTGGGTGAGAAAACAGACCCGGAGAGGGGAAGGAATTTGCCCAGCACTGCATAGCAAGCCAGTGGCAGAGCCAAGACTTGAACCCACACCTGCAGCCTCTCAGTTTGGGACTCATTCCCCTCTGCAGCAATCTGGGATAGCATCTGGGGGACTGAGCTGGAGGAGGACAACTGGAGGCCAAAGGCCGTCAGGAGGCTATAGTCCACCTAGATCAGAAACCACAAGACTGGCCAGTAAGAACTGTTTATTGAGCCCTTCACCCCGATCCCCATCTTGAGTGGCTTTGAGTCCACCGATGGAGCACCTACAAGGACAGGAAAAAAATGCAAAGAAAAGGAATATGGTGGGCTTCCCGGAGGAGATGGGAGGTGGGTATGGTACTCATGAGAAGGAAGGGGCCTTGGGAACAGACTTGGATAAGGATGGAGGAAGATCTCCGAAAGAAATGGCTTGTCATCTGGGTTCCTTCTGGTTCTTGGTCAAGGTTTCCACCTCCTTCATGAACCGAAGACAGAGTTCCTCCTCCCATGGCAAAGTGATGCACTGCACAGCCACTGGGAGCCCCACGGATCCTTCCACCGCCTGCTCAGAGAGAGTGTCTGTAAATCAGAGCCTGCTTCCTGCCCACAAGCCCCTTGCCCACCCCTCCCCACCTCCCCTAGGTATGCATTAATCCAAATATCTCATCTCCAGTCCATATTAACATAGAGATTTCCTGGATCTCAGAGTTCCAGGCTTCCTCGGCTCTCAGTAAAACCTGGAAAAATTGTTCTGACTCTGTCTACAATTCTCCAGGGTAAAACTTGTTCCTTGTGCAAAGAGCTGACTATAACAATGAAATATAAAGCCAAGTATCCAGCCAATGTTCATAGCACAGGAAAGAAGAATGGGCAAGTCCCTGATCCAGAACCTAGTTACACTTCTGCAGTGAAAGAGGTGCCTTGGCTCCAAACACAAGCCCGGGAACATGGGGGCTGGGCCTGAGTGCCTGCCATGAAATCCAAACATAATTGTAGGAATTCAAACATGTTTTCACTGCTTTATGACAGCACTTTTCCATCACACTAGTGTGCAGCAAGAATTTTTAAAGCGTGTAATATCTGATTATTTAGTCAGGGGCACTGACCTCTTATCTCTTACTTAGATTGTCAAATAGAAAAATGACAAGAGTCAACACAACAATAACCATCTGTTGTGAATGCCTGTCTTTGTTTTTAATCTTCACCTGAGGATATATTATTGATTTTAGAGAGAAAGAGAGAGGGGGGCAGGGAGGAGGAAGAGAGAGAAACATCCATGTAAGAGAGAAACATCAATCGGTTGCCTCAGTTGCCTCCTGTACTGCAACCCAGGTATGTGCCCTGACCAGGAATCAAACTGGCCACCTTTTGGTGCACAGGACGACGCTCAACCAACTGAGCCACTATGGCTGCACTCTATATATCACTTTTAAACAGCTCCTGGAATAGAGGAAGAGCTCAAGACACACTAGATAGTGGCATTATTATTATTTTCTCAGCAGTTCCACTGGGTAATTCTACCACTAAAAACAATTTCCAGCCCTGGCCAGGTAGGTCAGTTGATTAGAGTGTCATCCCAATAAGTCAGGGTTGTTATTTTAGACCCTGCATTGAATAGACCCATAGAAACATTTCCTTTTGGTAAGTCACCTCTGAATTAATAATAGTATCATTTATTGAACACTTCCTACATATAAGACCTTATGTCAATTGCTTCAGTCTTTTTTGATTTAACCTTTAACATAATTCTGCAAAGTAGACTTTTTTATTCCTGTTTTTTTCTGACAAAGAAACTGAGGCCCAGAGAAGGGCAGTATCCAGTTGTTTCACGGTAAGCTCTTACCCCGGAGCCTTTGCCCTGATCCACCCTTCCTGCCTCTGGATTGGACTTTCCTTACAGAAGTGTAGAGCAGACCACTATTTTTGTAAAATATTCTCCCCTGACAAGGACAGAGGGTGACCTGGACATTAAGTGGTGTGTCCTCGGGGATGGGGTGACACGTTATCACTTTAGCAGAAGTGATAAAGGCTAAACCCTGGGAATGCCCAGACCCATTCCACCCTGCCCTCACCCATCCACAGTAATGGAGGCAAGACTCAGTACTGGTCTGTGCTCCTGGGGGAGAGGTAAGGAGAGGGACACTGACCTCCTTGAAGTTTCTGTCATTTCTATCTCTGTAGTATCCCTTGTAGAAGGCCAGTTCCTCCTCGTCCTGTAGTGTCACAGTGGTGACAGGCACCACGCCAGCAGGGAAGTCCAACATATTGTACAGGCTGTGGTAAGAGCTGCTAGCTGTAGGAAGACCGAGGTTAGCCCAGGAAATCACCAACTCCCCAAGACTCCGGTGGGGAAGAATGTGACGTGACTAAGCACTCCCCTCGGGTCCTTCTCGGAACTGCATCCCTGTGGGCTTGAAATCGCCCTGGAATCACCTGACAAACACTCCCTGCTCTTCCCACAGGGCGTGGGGAAGGAGAATCGCATTGTCCAAGCCTTACTCAGTGCCAGGCATCTCTGCATTGCTGATTCTCTGAATCCTCTCCACCCCTGAGAAATGGGGATTACTATTCCCTGAGTGCAAATGAAGAAACCCAGGTGCCAGATGGGTGAGATGGCTTTTCACAGGCTGCAGAGCTGGTGAGTGGCAGAGATTCCGCCCATGCCCTCCAATACACTAGGCTTCAAGATGGCTGGCGTGTGCAGTGCAAACCTGACTTGAAAAGACTTCTCTATGGCCACAGCCACCTGTGTGCAGGGACGGAGCATCACAGAAGTGGTAGTGATGCCTACAGAGGACAGCAGAGAGCAGAGCAAGGTGTGGGCGTGCCTTTGGGCAGCCACTGTGGGGGACCCAGGGGAGAGGACTCCAGGCTTGAGGTGGGTTTTCATTTTGCATTGACATCACCTCTGACTCTGCACCTGTTCTGGGCACGAGACCCAGTGATGCCTCAGATACTGCCCTATGCTGAGGCCTGAATTTCAGGTGGGTTGGGCTACAGACACCTCTAGAAATGGGGCAGCACAAAGCATGCTAAGAGTGAATGCACATGCTCAGTGAAAGAAGCCAGACACAAAAGCCTCAGATTTTATGATTCTGTTTATATGAAATCCTAGAAAAGGCACATCTATAGTGAGAGAAAGCAGATTAAGTGGTTGGGGGGGGGGCGGGTAAGGTTAGGGAAAAATTGCAAGAGGACATGAGAGAAATTTGATCAGTGATGGAACTATTCTATATTTTTATTATGATGGTGGTGATACCACTATATACCTTTGTCAAAATTCATTAAATTGCACTCTGTGAATTTTATTGCATGTACGTTATACAGATGGTCCCCAACTTATGATGGTTTGATTACTTTTTTTTTTACTTTACTTATACATATTCAGTAGAAACCAGCTAAACTAAGCTGATGTTCACCAGGTTAAATGTATTTTCAACTTAGATATTTTCAACTTACAATGGATTTATTGATACATAACCCCATCGTAAGTTGAGGAGCATCTGTGCTTTTTTCATTTTTAAAGCGAATGGAAATTCACTTTTAAAAGTTCATTTTTATTTTTTTTTATTTTTTTAAATATATTTTATTGAACTTTTACAGAGAGGAAGGGAGAGAGATAGAGAGCCAGAAACATCGATGAGAGAGAAACATCGATCAGCTGCCTCCTGCACATCC